AACCCCACCAACTGGGAGAACATTTTTGCACCCAACACTAATGATAAAGGACTGATCACAAAAATCTGCAAAGAGCTGATGAGACTCAACAACAACAAAGAAAATAATCCAGTCCAAAAATGGGCAGAAGAGCTAAAAAGAAACTTCTCTGAAGAGGAAATGCAAATGGCCAACAGGCATATGAAAAAATGTTCAACATCACTTGTCATCAGGGAAATGCAAATCAAAACTACCATGAGATACCATCTTACACCAGTGAGAATGGCATATATTAAAAAAACTAGCAACAACAAATGTTGGCGAGGGTGTGGAGAAAAAGGAACTCTTCTGCACTGTTGGTGGGAGTGCAAACTGGTCCAACCACTGTGGAAAGCTGTGTGGAGATTTCTGGACCTACTAAACATAGAGCTTCCATATGATCCAGCAATTCCACTCCTAGGTATTTACCCAAAGGACACAGAAACATCAATTCCAAAGAACACCTGCACCCCTATGTTTATAGCAGCACTGTTTACAATAGCTAAGCTTTGGAAACAACCCAAATGCCCAAAAATAGATGACTGGATCAAGAAGATGTGGCACATATATACCATGGAATATTACTCAGCATTCAAAAAGATAAACACATGCAATTTGCAGCAACATGGATGGCGCTGGAAGGGATCATGCTCAGCGGAATAAGCCAAAAGAAAAAGAAAAATACCGGATGGTCTCACTCATAGCAGGAATCTAGAAAACTTAAATAAGGGGCCAGGAAAATGAATAACTATAAGAAAGTGAAAATCAAAATCAACAAAAAACTATGAACCAGAGACACTTTTAGGGGTGCGGGGGTGGGAGGGGAGGGATTGGGGTCAGAATGGGGGGGCTGCAATTGTATGGGGAATATAACAATAAAAATAAATAAATAAATAAATAAAAGAGCTTTTAGATGAGACACCAGAATTACAGCCACAGATAGGGAGAAAATATTTGCAATTCACTTATCTCATAAAAGGTCTGTATCCAGAACACATAAATAAGTTGCAAAGTTCAACACTAAGAAAACCACCAAGCAATTTTTTTAAATGAACAGGTATTCAGATAGCAAATAAGCATATAAAATGATGCTCAACATCATCAGACACTAGGGAAATACAAGTTAAAGCTACAATATTCTATTTTATAGCTATTAGAATACATAACATATTAAAAACTGATGATAACAAGCACTGACAACGCTATGAAACAAGTGGAACTCCTACATTGCTGGTGGGAACATAAAATGATAATCACTTAGGAAATAGTTTAACAGTTTCTTATAAAGTTAAACATATATTTACTATACAACCCAAGATTCCCCTCCTAAGTATTTACTCAAGTGAAATGAAAATTTTTGTTCAGATCATAGCCTATATATGAATGCCAGCTTTATTCATATTCACCAAAAAGCCTTCTAGAAGCCAGTCAAGAGGAAAACAAACTATAGTATATCCACTCAGTGGAATATTTAGTGATAAAAGGGAACAAAAGTCAAAAGGGAGTCTGAGGTACATAGAACAATCACTTAATGAACCGACAATGACAAATTATCTCTTACTCTTTAAAAATGAAATTCAAATGCACAGTATTTTTGTTCATAGCAACTATCCAAAATAAAATCTGTGCTGGCATTGAGCCCAGAAGGAAGAATGAAAAAAAAAAGGGAACAAACTGTTGATTCACACAACTACATGGATGAAATGTAAATATAGTTTGCTAAGTAAAAGACAAACCCCCATGGCTACATAGAGTATGTTTGCATTTATATGAAATTCTATAAAAGACAAACCATAGGAACAGAAAACAGATCCTTTGTTTTTAGGCTTTAAAAGAAGGGGTACATGACTACAAATGGTCAATGCTAGGGAATTTAGGGAGTGATGGAACTACTCTATATAGTACTGAAAGGGTGGACACACAATTCTACTTGTCAAAACCAACAGAACTGCACATTACGAAGAGTAAATTTTACATATACAAATTTCTTAAAATCAGCCAGCCAGGAATTCAGATAAAGTTGAGAAGAATGCAGAAGGTTACAAAAGAATTTAACTATATTATAAATGAGTGACACATCAAAGACAGGAGTTATCCTAAGTAACTTTATAAAAGTGTTTTGACTACATACTCTAAGGCTAAAGACTAAAAGAAAGTACACAGACATCAAATCCTATGATCGTGGGCCACAAAATGACCCCCCAAAAGATATCTACATTCTACTCTCTGGAATCTGTGAATATGACCTTATATGGCAAGAAAAAAGGAGGAAGGTCACTGCAGATGTGATTAAATTAAGGATCTTGAGTTGGGGAAATTATCTGAATTATCCACCCACGGAGATCCTAAATGCAACCATGTATCCTCATAAAATGGAAGCAGAAGGAGATTTCATATACAGTAAGAAAGGCCATGTGAAGACAGAGCAGAATAGTGAGCAGAAGATGCTGATTGTGATGGTTAATTATGTGTCAACTTGGCTAGGCTATGGTGTCCAGTTTGATTAAATACCATTCTAAATGATACTGTCAAAGTATTTCTTAAATGTGATTATTTAAATCAGCAGATTTTTAGTAAAGCACATAAATATCCATAATGTGGGTGGGTTTTATCCAATCAGTTGAGGGCCTTAAGAACAAAGGTGGGTTTCCTGAAGAAGAAACTTGGCATCAAGTCTGTAACATCTGCCTAAATTTCCAGCCTCTCTGGTCTGCCCGCCAGAATAAAGGCTGAAGAGCACAACACGGACTGTCACCTGTATTTCCAGCCTGCCAACCTGTCTTACAGATTTCAGGTTCACAATCTCTATAATCATCAAAGTCAATTTCTTGAAATAAACCAGCTAGATAGGTAGGAAGATAATACATAATAGCTAGTTATAGATAAGATATGCTTGCCATTGCTTATTTCTCTAAACCCTAATACAACAATTTTGGAAATGGTTTAAGAGAGCAGAGACCAGCTTTGAGTTTTTATGGTGGTTAGGGGTGGGTGCATGGCAAGAGTTAATATACATGGTTTGAACTTCCCACTAGTATCAAAGGAGGAAGCATCCAGGCATTATTATCAGCTTGACTAGATGTGGAGCAGAAGGGAAGAAAACAGGTGAGGCTGAAATATGTCATCAGTCACATAGCAAGACATGGAGTGAGACTGTTTATTACTTCATAACTTAATAGACCTAAGTCAAAAATACAAAGATATTGGGCCATATGTTTATATAATTCCATCAAATTTTAAATATATTCATGGAATCTATGAAACTGATTGATGAACAAATACTTTAAATAAAATTTAAAGTTGTTTTTTTGTTGTTGTTGAAGCCAGGAAACAAAATTTTAAATGTTTTTTAATAGGTTTAAACAAAAAATTATATTAACAGTATTACCATTAACATAACAATAAAATTTTCAGAAATTTCTCCAGTCTAATTTCACCTAAGTTCCTTACATTGAAGATATTAAAATAACTGAAAAATTAGAATTTTACCATTTGATATATTAAAGAAAATAACACATTTTATTCACTATCAATAACAAATTCTTTGAGATTATTACTAAAGCACCATTCTGTCTGCTGCAACAAAGAATAAGGGCATCACAGTAATTTTATTTATTTTTTTTAAATAATAAATTTTATTTTTATATTCCCCCATACAATTGCAACCACCCCATTCTGACCCCAATCCTTCCCCCCCCCCCCCCCAAAAAGTGTCTCTGGTTCATAGTTTTTTGTTGATTTTGATTTTCACTTTCTTATATTCATTTTCCTGGTCCCTTATTTAAGTTTTCTAGATTCCTGCTATGAGTGAGACCATCCGGTATTTTTTCTTTTTCTTTTTGGCTTATTTCGCTGAGCATGATCCCTTCCAGTGCCATCCATGTTGCTGCAAATTGCATGTGTTTATCTTTTTTGAATGCTGAGTAATATTCCATGGTATATATGTACCACATCTTCTTTTTTTTTTTTTAAATAATAAATTTTATTTTTATATTCCCCCATACAATTGCAAACGCCCCATTCTGACCCCAATCCTTCCCCTCCCGCCCCCCACCCCCCAAAAAGTGTCTCTGGTTCATAGTTTTTTGTTGATTTTGATTTTCACTTTCTTATATTCATTTTCCTGGTCCCTTATTTAAGTTTTCTAGATTCCTGCTATGAGTGAGACCATCCAGTATTTTTCTTTTTCTTTTTGGCTTATTTCGCTGAGCATGATCCCTTCCAGCGCCATCCATGTTGCTGCAAATTGCATGTGTTTATCTTTTTTGAATGCTGAGTAATATTCCATGGTATATATGTACCACATCTTCTTGATCCAGTCATCTATTTTTGGGCATTTGGGTTGTTTCCAAAGCTTAGCTATTGTAAACAGTGCTGCTATAAACATAGGGGTGCAGGTGCTCTTTGGAATTGATGTTTCTGTGTCCTTTGGGTAAATACCTAGGAGTGGAATTGCTGGATCATATGGAAGCTCTATGTTTAGTAGGTCCAGAAATCTCCACACAGCTCTCCATAGTGGTTGGACCAGTTTGCACTCCCACCAACAGTGCAGAAGAGTTCCTTTTTCTCCACACCCTCGCCAACATTTGTTGTTGCTAGTTTTTTTAATATGTGCCATTCTCACTGGTGTAAGATGGTATCTCATGGTAGTTTTGATTTGCATTTCCCTGATGACAAGTGATGTTGAACATTTTTTCATATGCCTGTTGGCCATTTGCATTTCCTCTTCAGAGAAGTTTCTTTTTAGCTCTTCTGCCCATTTTTGGACTGGATTATTTTCTTTGTTGTTGTTGAGTCTCATCAGCTCTTTGCAGATTTTTGTGATCAGTCCTTTATCATTAGTGTTGGGTGCAAAAATGTTCTCCCAGTTGGTGGGGTTTCTCTTTGTTTTTGTTATTGTCTCTTTTGCTGCATCACAGTAATTTTAGAATCATTTTTTGGTACAAAGTAAAAAAGTACACCTCACTGCTAACTCTGCACAGTTATTGCTAAAAGATCTTTTATTTCATTTATTTTTTTAAAGATTTTATTTATTTTTATACAAGAACCGGGGTACAGGCTAGATGCACTGGAGGGTGAGAGAATTCACTGGAGACAGAGCAGGGAACAGAACAGGCAGACTGACAAAATACACTGCTGAGGGGAGCAGTGGGCAAGACAGGAGAGGTCTACTTCACTATATGGGATTCTCACCAGCCAGCCGGGATCGAACCCTCGCTGCAGAGGCTGTGGACAGCTTCACAGTGTGTTGCTCAACTACCTGAGCCACCAGGGAGGCCCTAAAAGATCTTTTGATGGCCTCTAGAAGTTCTTGTACTTATCAAAGTATTTAACATACCATCAGAATGAAACAGGTTCCAGGGAGAAGCAGGCTTAATATTTACAATTAAGATTAATTGGAAAATCTATTAAGATTAATAACAACTCTTGTCTGAATATGGCTTGGAAAGTCAAAACCAAAATAAATAATGATAGCTGATTCTACAAATAAAAACAAAATTCGATGATACAAACTAAATTTTTCAATATTTAAATAAACAGAATCAAATTATGTAGCTATGATAACCTGATATTGCTTTATCTAACAAAAGAAAGGTAGTGTTCATATTTTAAATAATAATATAAATATATATCTTAGATGATTACAGAGATAATAAATAATTCAAGAAATTAGTCATTACTTCAAAAAAAGGCAAACTGTGTTGTATTTTGTGAAGATGAAAACCCTTTTATAGAAGAAGGTGCTGTGCTTTGATTCTGATCAAATGAAAATGGAAAACTAAAATCATCTTTTCCAGTTGAAGAGTCTGATGGAAAAGAAAATGTAAAGGCCTCTTCTCTTTCTGGTTTCCCAAATAAGTTTCCTAAGGAAAATAAATATTACAATTACCATGCTACTCTTGTCATAGTATTTACATAACCTACTAAATTATAGTCTATTGTATACCATAAGTAGGGTAGCATTGAATCATTTGTCTATTAACCAGATTTTAACTGTCTTCTTATATGTAAAGCATTGTCCTAGGTACTATGGAAGGCTAAAAAGATTCAAATTTATACTGAACATGCAAGTAATCTGAACTCAAGTGTATAAAGAAGTAGTATATAAGGTAGAAAAATGAGTAAAACACTTCAAATGGACTAATAGCACTGAGGTAAACAGACATGTATAGGAAGCATAGGGTAACAGGAAATCAATTCCTCTTGATGTTAATAGATTATTGGCAGTATGTCTAGGTGCTATGGAGATTTCAAAGGTAAATGAAACAAGAGCCCCTGCTCTCAAAGAACCTCTGGTTAGAGGAAATTAAAATACACACACACAGAAAAGGTTAAAAAAGAAGAGAGACCAGGAAAGTAAGGGAGAGTTCTTTCTTGGAATGGAATAAATGTTGAAGGGGGAAATAAAAGGTTTTATGGAAGCGAGATCTTGAAAATATGGTTAGGCCGAGATTGAAGCTGAAAACTTCAGGAAGAAAAAAGTGGGTAAGGAAGTGTAGCCTTATTTGCTATGCAATGAGTTATTCAGTCAAGCCAAAACAGAGATTATTCCTATAATAGAGCAGGTTTAAAATATATGAGATGTTACTTAGAAGACAGTATTTAGAAAGGGAAAGAATTTGGATTGGGGTGTAACAAAAGTATAATGATGGGCATTCCAGAATCAATGTACACTAGAATGTAAGCTCCATGACTGCAGGGATTTTGCTACTGAATGTATACAACCACTGATTAGCATTTGTATGTGTGCTCAGTTACTTGTTAAATAACCAGAAGGAGAAAATGTACACTATATGAACATCCAGAAGTGGAAGCCTGCAAAATAAAAGTTAATTCAGGGAACCGCATTAAAAAAAAAAAAAGATGTTTCAGCTAAGGTAGAAAAGGAGGAGTATACTTTGACAGTCCCTGGGGAGTCACAGAAGGTATTTAACTAAGGCAGTGACGTGATCATCATTACATCTGTGGAACATTAATTAGGCTGTAATATATAGGTAAGCTGAAAGGATCTACCTTATAGGTGACCTATAGGTAAATTGAAAGTATGAAAAGACCAGTTATGATGTTAGTGTAAAAGCCCACGTGAATGGTAGTAAGAGTTTGAAATATAATACAACGGTCTCAATGAAAATTGCAGAAAAAGAAGTATTTCAGAGGGAAAGCTGATAAAAGTTGATGATTAGCTGAATATAGTCATAGGCATAGAGAGAAATTAAAATTATTATTGATGTACTGAGTCTTGGTACCTAGAATAATGGAAATATCATTAAGTACATCAGAAGGAGAACAATTTTTATTTCAACTATGCTGAGTTTTCAATGCAAACAGATGCCTTAGATATAAAAAGATATTAACTACCCAATCAGAAATAAGGTCCTAGCATTTAGGAGAAATTAAGGAATGAAGACATGATTTTGATCATCACTTGCATTACAATATTTGAATCATTTAAGTGAGTATTGAACGAGATTACTAAAAGTGTATATAAATATCTAGCATTTTTGATGAAAGACATTAAAAACTGTCCACAATTGGTAGATTTACTCCAAAATTTATGTCTATTCCACTGAATACCAAATTCATATACACAATTTCCTACTTTATTTTCACTTACATATATAATATAGTAATTCAAAACATTTTTCAATGATAAGACTTCTAAAATTAAACTTCCAGCTTCTGTCTATCTCAAATTAACTTCTACAACTTTCCATATTTCAATAAATGGTAACTTCATTCTTACAGTTATTTATGTCAAAGTCTTGGCATAATCCTTGTTTCTTTTAATCCCTCCTTACAATCCATAAGCAAAACCTTACAACTCTACCTTCAGAAGCCATAATGACCAAAATCTGACTCCACTCACCACTTCCATTGCTATAAACCTCACCATCAATTCTTACCTATATTAATAACTTCCAAAGTAATCTCCCTAATTTCACCCTTACTTCTAAACAATCTGTTCTCCATTTAACAGCCAAATAATTCTTTTAAAACTTGTGAGATCATTTCTGCCAGTTGTTCCTTTCTTATTTGATTCCAATCACATCAATTTACCTGTTCAACGAACATGCTCAGCATGTTTCCATTTCAAGGCCTGTGCACTCTGTGCCTAAAACACTTATCTCAGCAATTTATACCTAAACCTTATTCAGGTCTCTGCTCAAATGTTGCCTCTAAATGATGACTTCCCTGACTTATAAACATAGCAACCACCTTCTAATCCAAGTACTTCTAGTCTCCTTATTCTGCTCTACTTTTCTTTTTCATACTTATTACCACCAGTGAGTAAAACATTAACATCGTCTGGCTGATCCAGATCTACCTGGAAGAAAGACCTTTTCTTAGACAATACAGAATTAAGGTAAATGTAAAGGTAGGATTATGTGTCTGCCCAGTCAACTACATGGGATTGCACCTGAATTAGAAGAACTATGAGTTAGTATCTCAGTATTAAAAGACTAGTGGGAAACTGAGTATGCAACTTTCTTGAAGCAGGTCTTTTGTTCACAGTAGCCTTGTATGTGTCATGTGGGTGAGAAGCGAAAGAAAGGTTATTACTTGGGTAGCTGGGGGGCCTCTCAATGATATAAAAATGTTGCACACGTTGTTATCTCTAGTCCTGCATCTTTCCACACATCTAAGTAATGTCATATTAGATTAAAAATTGTGATCTGAGTCTACTAACTCAAACCTATGCCAATTGTTTAGTACACTATCTCACATGTTAAATAACCATTTGTTTATTTTTAATCTCTCTCACTACAATAAGAACTTTGCTTTCTTGTTTATGTTCTATGCCAGAGTCAAAAACAGTTCCTGATATAAAATATACTATGTATACAGACATATAAATATTTTGAATGAGTTAATAAAAAGATAAAGATCAAATAAAAAGCACCAGAGATAGAAGGAAATTTAAAAACTCCAGAAAGATGAAAATAGTCAAGTATACACAATGCTACAGAGACTGAGTATGATACTAAGTACAAAATACCCATAATGTTTGATAATTAGGAAGTCATCAGGTATATGGGAGAAAGCAAATTTTGCTAGAGTAGTGAGAGAAGCTAAACTGCAAAACTCAATAATAATCAAGAGTGATACAGAAATAACAGTAATTTAAGAATAAACTGAGTACCTAAGAAAATCAGTCAGAAACAATACAAAAGGGGAATGTTAAAATGGTCTTATATGGGCCTCCCTGGTGGCCTAGGGGTTAAGTCTCAGTGCTATCATAAAATGGCCTGAGTTTGATACCCAGCCAGGGAGCTAACCCACATATGGTGCAACACACCTCTCCTATGTTGCCTGCTGCTCCCCTCAATAGTGTATTTCAGTAAATCCACTTGTTCTACTCCCCACTCTGTCTCTGGTGGACCCTCTCATCACCCACATCTCTGGCCTATGTTCCCATCCTTCTATGCAAAAATAAATTTTAAAAAAAATTATGTTTTTATATGTAGCAAACTTCAAATTACTTACCAGTTTCATGTTGTGATGAGAGAGGATTTGAATTTCCAGAAGAATAATGTTCATTAAACTGAAAAATAATTTCCATTTAATATTATACTCATATCAGTAGAAGAGTACATAAAGTATTTAAATTGGAATGGATGAAATGAAAATATTCTGTATCTACAGCACATTATTACACTTTTAAAAAAAGGTTGATCTTTAAAATCTATCATTTACTAAAAAAAAAAAAAGAAAAAAAAAGAAAATCTATCATTTACTTATATTAAAATAAGGCCTCATGACTTGATTCTGCCAATTGTTAAAATATTAATGTACTACATATATTCTATTGCCAGGACCAACAGAATAGTTCCTAGTTTGGAATGTAAATATAATCTAAAATTCTAAATAAATTAACCAATAACTCTAAAAATAATTTATCGCTTTATTATAAAGGCCTTTTATAAATCAGGTTCTTGGTATTGTCTTACATCCTACAAAAAGGAATAGGAAGTATGATGGCTTCATGTCAGTTCAGAACAAGTTTTGTTTCCAAGTTTTGCTTCATATTTTCTCTATTTTAAAAAAGCCTTAAAAAAACAGGAACACAGAACATAGTTCCTTGCCTAATATATTACATTATGAGCATTATTCCATCCCATTATTCTTACAAAGCCTGGTCTTTTTGTGACATTATAATACTCCTCCATATGAACATACCATATAGTTTCATTCTTTTAATTAGGAAATTTAGGTAGTCTCAATTTCTTTTTCTAATATCATTTGCACATGAATAAACACTATGTTGTACATTACATTTCTTGGCAATCAGTAAGGAAATCTGTTTTCCTCACAGATTATTATGTTATTTTAACTTTTTGGTTATCTTTTCACCAAATGGACTTTATCCATATCTCACTTGAGGAAGTAATTTTTCCCACTACTACATATAAGTTCTTTATAGGTTAACAATAATATTATCATTATTCCAAACATTTTATATCACTTTCTAATTTTCTCTTAAATTTTTTTTAGCATATTGAAGTTTAAATTTTATGTTTCCAAACCCAAACTCTTTCGCATTTTTTTGGATATTCCTCTACTATTTTTAGGCTTAGCGAATCTTTCCTCCTTTAAAGATCTAGCAGTCACCCATATTTCCCCTGAAATATTTTATAGTTAACATTTTTTAATTTAATGCATATGTAACGTCCATTGGTATACCATATAAGTGACTGATTTATCCCCACTAATATGTGGTCCCAGACTGATGACCCAGATTGGTTGTTCTATTTTATCACTGATTTCCTATCTTTCTTATTTTTTTAATCCTACTTACTTGAGGTTTATTTCTTTTTTTAGCTTTTCAAGGTGGAACCTGAGGCTGCTGATTTTATTATTTTTGAATGTATTTTGTCTAGTTCATTATTCTTTTTTTTTTAATCAATATTGATTAAATCACTGATTTTAGGCTTCCTCCTTTCTATTAATTTATTTTAATTATTAACTACATTATTTAAAGCTATCATTTTGCTCTTATTTTGACAGCATCTCATAATTTTTTAACATGTTGAATTTTCTTATTCATTTCAAAGTATTTTCTAATTTCTCTCATGATTTCCTCATTGATCCATAGCTTACTAAGATTTTCTAGTATCTTACTGATTTCAAATTTAACTCTACTGTAGTTAGAAAACATACTCTATAATTTCAATCCTTCTAAATTAAATTTATTGACTTATTTTATAGCCCATAATATAGTTTATCTAGGCAAATGTACCATCAGTACTTGAAAAGAATATATATACTGTAATTGTTGGATGTGGTGTTTATAAGTATCAATTAGATCATGGAGATTGACAGTATTCATATTTTATAGAAGATCTTTGTTGTTGATTGTGTTTTCTAACAATAGCTGAGGTTGAGGTATTTAAAATCTCCAACAATGTTTGTTGTTTTGTCAGCTTTTCCCTTTAATTCTATTAATTCTTGTAATTTTTTGGAGCTGTTGTCAGACACATACACAGTTGTCACCATTATATATATTCTTTATGAAAATTGACTTATTGTTCTTATGAAAAATCCCTGTTTACCTCTAGCAATATTCTTTGTCTTGAGACTACCTAAATTATATTAATATGGCCATTATTACAATTTTTATGATGTCTATTTTTTCATTCATTTACTTCCAGTCTGTCCTTTACTCTATTTCTGAGGGGTGTCTCTTATAAATAGCATAAAGCTTGGTTGTGCTTTTTATCCAATCTTTTGGATATTTAATAGAGTATTTAATCCATTCATGGTTAATGTAATCATTGAAAGTTCTTATTGCTCTAACATTTTACTAATTGTTTTCTTCTTGTCCCTTGTTTTGTTACTATCGCCCTTCTTCTCTGCCTTGTTTTGGGTTAAGCTTTTCATAGAATGCCATTTTACTTTATTACAAATCTTATTTTTTAACATTTTCCTGATTATTGTTAATCAGAAAATCTAGCAATTATTTGCCAATTATCTTCTCTAACCCTACTACTATAAAAACAAAACAAAAATTAAAGAAAAACAATCTTGCCAGAATTCCAGGATTACAATTAGATTTGAACTGGATCACATTTATAAATTATTTCGGGAAGAAACATATTTACAATATTTTCTTCCTACATGGGTACTTAGTATATCTATGTATTCAACTGCTTTATCTGTAATTTTTATAGTTTTATTTATCCAGATATATACATGTTCCCTATTAAGGCTAAAACATGTATTTTGGATTTGTAACTATTATAAATGAGAGTTAGTAACTGTAGTCTATATATTCATGCCAAGCACGTATACCCCTTCTAGAAATTACCTGTTTTTGAAATAAGCATTCAAATTAAAATTGAGACAACAGTTGAACACATGAAATACTATGAAATGTACAATAGTGTATCATCCATCAATACATTTCTAATTTCAACAGTTTAATGATGGGATTATAGGAATATTCTAATTCATATAAAAGTGGCTAACTATGACAATTAACACTGATGATTATTACATTACATTGAGACTCATAATATTACTATTGGCTAGAGCTTTTCTAATATTTTATGTATATAAACTCAATATTCACACACTTCATGGTAAAAATTATTACTTCCATTTTACAGATGAGAATCCCCAAATCCCAAATCTAGTACATACCCACATAATATGGCTTCAGAGTCCAGTCTTAACCACTACTATGTGGTTAAGAGACGACTACACTACTATGTGTAGAGACAAATATGCTGTCTCTACTGATCAAATAAAGTAGGTTGTAATTTTCACTTTTAACTGCTGAACACAGAAATAAGCACTTTCTTATGACTTCTATCACTGAACAGTAGAAATCACTAATTAGAAGGTAATTCTTCTAAATTAGCCAATGATAATGTTGCAATGTATACATAATGCAGATGTAATTACTAAATAATAAGCTGGAACTTTTTTTTTTTAATAGAGGCATGTTTTATTTATTTATTTGTTTGTTTGTTTGTTCATACATGCACTGGGTACAGTCAGAAGTGCAGGAGGATGAGAGAATTCACCAGAGCCAGAGCAGGGAGCAGAGCAGACAGAAGGACCGAAGTACACTGTTGAGGGGAGCAGCAGGCGGCAGGAGAGGTCTGCGCGCCATGTGGGACCCTCCTCCGGTGGCCAGGGATCAGCCGGGATCGAACTGGCACCGCAAAGGCCGCGGGCAGCTTCGCAACCCAGCACTCAACCGCTGCGCCACCGGGGAGCCCCTAAGCTGGAACATTTTTGACATGAAGTATATCTGAAGTTTTTTTAGAGTTTTCACACATGTACTATACAGCCATATTAATTTTTCAACAGCCAGTACTGCCATTGAAATCATTCTTAGATTTTTTTTTTTTATAAACATATTCAATTTGGGGTACCTGAAGTTGAAAACAAAAACTTTCATAAGGAACTTTACTATAGCATCAATATTCAGAATATTAGTTGCCTGTTTTTTGTGCTCTGCTCCCAAGACAATTTGGTGCTAAAGAAATAAAATCACTTAAGGTTTCCAGTGTACAATATTTTTTAGAAATGAAATTTTAGCTTCTCATATTACCTGATATGATGATGATTCTGAATCAAATACAGAAGAATCAAAAAGATTCAATCCAGGTGATCTAGACGTAAAACTTGTAAGAAAAGAAAGTCCAGGGGATTCTTTCTGTGTTTGACCTTCAGGAATTGTATTTCTATTTCTGTTACAGAGAAATAAGAAATTATCAAAATGCTAAAAATCTATTATTTAATATTACAGACTGGTAAGCACTATAAGCAATGACACAGAGGCAAGAATTAGTGAAGTAGGTAAACGGAGTAAATAGACATTCAAATGACAAACCTATGGAGCAAAAGATGGTTTGGATGGAGGATAATGTTAAAGTAGAACAATCAATTATGGAATAATAATATTGAATTCTTACTGAGCATATACTGTCATGTTCTATTCTAGGTAGTTCCAGCATCATTAACATACTTATTCCTCATAATAACCCTATAAAATAGATACTCTTATCACTTCCATTTAATAGAAGAGGATTTTGAAGCATGGTAAGGTTAATGATTTGCTCAAAAAACACAAGTGACAGAGTTGGAATTTGAAAGTAGTAATCCAGATTCAAGATTCAAGTTCTTAAACCTGATTTTTACTGTCCCCAAGATCTTGAAATCCAATTGCAAGATTTTGGTCTTGATGAGCAGGCAGCTCTTACAGGGGGCTAAACAATAAAATGGTCTGGAAGGAATAACCAGACAAGGCAGTAAATAACACAGTGTAAAGCATGGATTCTGGAAGCAGAGCTGCCTAACTCAATCACTATCAAGCTCTTCATCTGTGATTATGTTTCTTGATCTGTAAAATGAAGCTAGTAATGTACTTACATCTCAAAGTTGCTATTGATATTAAATATGCAATATTCAAAAAATGCTTAGGCACAGTTGGTGCTAAGTATTTGTGAAACATAATAGAAGATACTTCCAGTCTAAATATACTTCCATAACTATCTCCATAACTACTGATGAGTCACTTAACTTTACAGATAAATTTTTGGGAGACAGGTTTTGGTGTGACTGTCATATCCTTCTAGCGTTCTCAGATTTCATAATGAGTTTCTCTTTGAATATGCTTTTTGAGTCAACAATATGACATTCAAATATAAAATCTTACTATAAACTTAAAATATAGAAGTAGAACACAGGTTGCAGGTCCCTGATGCAATGACATCTGTCTGACATATGGCTTAGAGGAATCTCAGTGTTCAAAATTAAGGAATGGATTGAAATAAACAAAATGCTGAATGCAACACAGTTCCTCAGCTGCAAACTACAAATCTATTGTTTCCAAAGTTAAATAACCAAACCAGAGACATTTATGCCTACTGAGATTACTCAAGTTAAATAACCAAACCAGAGACATTTATGTCTACTGAGGTTACTCAACAGAATCACATTTCTTGCTTTAGACACAACATAAGGTAAAATGATTGCTGAAACATTACGCTAAGTCCCAAATCTACCATATGCAATAGTTGCTTTTTAGTTTGACATTTAACATATATCCATATTTTTTAATCCTTTGTAAAAATTTTAATCTATATATTACTACACCAAGTAAGCACTCATGATCATGTCATCTTCACCTAAGTGTTGCAGGAAAAATGGGGATAAACTGTGCATAAAACATGAATGGCAAAATATTAATAATTGTTCAACAGGGTAGTAAGTACATAAAGGTTCATTGTTCTAGTCTCTCTTCTTTGTATATCTGAAATATTACATAATAAAAACAATTAAAGCTACAGGTTACTAAGCATTTTCTATTCTTATCAATTATTTACATAGCTCAACTCAATATGTAGATTCTTTACTTATAATTATTAATTAAAATCCTACATTTCAAATGAGGGGGTTTTAGGGAACAGTAATTTCTCCAAAGATTCAGGTGCTTTTACAGGTTCAGGAGTTCTTAAAAATATAGGTATTTCAGAAGTTTGTGAAAAATTCTCAGTTCTTTCTTCTACTTCATCACTATTATTTTCTTTTGACTTCCCCAAATTTTCTGTAAATATAACCTGCAAATTCAAAGTAACAGAACATTAAATATGAACATTATTGCATTAATAAACGGACATGTAAAAATGTGTGAGGTAGAAAACATCATATTAATCTATGCGGTTACCTTTTCACAATCAAAATCAGTAACAGTGATTGATGAAACTGATAACAAAATATATCTGCACCCAACATTTTTTAAGTATAATATTTAATTATCTATTTTTTCCTGTATCCCTAACCTTCCCTGAAAAAGTAAATGATAACGAGGACATACTCAAATTTATGTTAAGAATGACTAAGAGGGCCTCCCTGGTGGCACAAGGGGTTAAGACACAACCTATGAAGCTATCCGCAGCACTGCAGCAAAGTTCTATCCCCAGCCAGGGAGCCACCACATGGTGCAGCAGACCTCTCCTGACTCACCCGCTGCTCCCCTCCGCAGTGTATTTCAGTCAATCAGCCTGTTCTGTTCCCCACTCTGTCTCTGGTGAACCCTCTCACTGCCCCCCCATCTCTGGCCTATACCCCAGTTCTTGTATGCATGAATAAACAAATCTTTAATAAAAAAAAAAGATTGACTAAGAATGATTTTTCCTTTAAAATTTCCATATCATGCTTTGGGCCAAGAGTTGTATATGATACCTCCTTGAAAGGGAAAAGTAATTTAGTACTAAGCAATCTTGCTCTCATAGTTATGTTCTTTGTACTTTTTGGCCTTTGTAAATTCATTACTGTCCCTCTGCAAAAGTTGAGAATCTAAATATTATTTTCTTTATTTCATTTTGTAGATTAGAAATGTGATTTCTCAAATGGTCATTATACTAAATCCCATTACAGAAGCAATTTGGGTACTTCCACCAAAAAAAATAAAATGTACACTTTACCTGTATTTCTTTACAGCAACATACCAGTGTATCACTGCTCTTGTTTTTAACCATTAGTAGTATGTTAAGTTTGACACATATTTTCTATATCATCATTAGAGCATTCCACTACTAAAAAAATTCAAAGATATTTTTGTGGCAACCCACTGGTCTTTAATTATCTTCGCAAATCAATCTTACCAAATAAAATTGTTTTCTTCAGTCATGATTTAGTTGTGGTATCAATATATATAATTAATTATTAATAACAACTCTTTTTGTATGTCTATATGTAAATATTTTGCGTCTTATTTTTTAATCTAAAACTCTTCTAAGGGTAGAATCAGTAACACCATAGCAACTGAATTACCAAGCTAATAACATCTAGACTTCACATAAATAATCTTCATCACACTAAATCTGATATTAAAATGGAAAAAATACTTAAATTTTGCTTAGAAGTTAGAAACCAAATATTTGACTTACTTGTGGAGTACATTTTGATTCTCTTAATTGTATTACTGTTCCTTTATCTCCACACTCAGCATCTGTTTGTTAAATGAGAACAAACTATTTTTTTTTTTTTGCAATTTCATTGTAAAATAAAACAGATGAGTTGAACCATACGATAGTCTGAATATTTAAACTGCTCATGACCTCACAAAATGGCAATTTTGTATATAGCCCAAATCAGATAATAAAATCTGAGTAGTTTAGCAAACAAAATTACAAAGAGAACACCCATGTTAAATACCAGTCAGGCTAAAAAACCTGGAAGATAATGAGAACTTGTATCTTCTTCTTCAGAGGTAATCCCTGTTATGACTTTTGTGATAATCATTTCCTTGATTTGCTTTATATAGTTTTCATTATCTAACATAGTGATACACAGTAACTATAAGCAATATAGTTTATTAGTCCCATGATAAAATCTAACATAATGAAATAATTATAAATGTGCTCTTTGTTTTACTTATTTTTGCTTAGCAGATGCTTGTAAGATCCATGCATACTTTTGCTTATGGAAATAGTTCGCTTATTTATACTGATGTAAAGTGCTCCACTGTACAAAACACAACACAATATGTCTATTCATTATATTACAAATGGGCATTTGGGACATTTATACTTTGAGTCTATTATAAACAATGACAATGTGAACATTCTTCTACATATGTATGTGTATATACATACTTGTATTTCTCTAGACATATACCCAGGAGTGGATTTGCATCTTCCATTTTACCAGATGTTAAACTATTTTTCCAAAGTAGTTGTACCAATTTTTGTTATAGCAACACATTATTTTGGGGTACACTAGGAAATCACTTAATTTCACCAGACAAAATCATTAGCTCCAATTATAATTTAGATGTGGTCTCAATATATATTCATTTATAAGTAACAGTTTCTACCTACAGTAGAATATACTGTTCTACATGTTCATTAACACTATTATCAGACGTTCTGAAGTTTGCTAATCTGGTGGTATATAATGGTATAATATTATGGATTTATTTTTCAGTTTCCTCATTTGCTAAGTAGCTTTTCATGTTTATCTTCCACAAAGATTTCTCTTTCTGAAGTGACTACTTGTGTATTTTGTACATACTTGGTTTGCCTGTCTTTCTTCTTGAGTTGTAGGCATCCTTTATACATTTCTGGAAACTACTCCTTTAACAGATTTATGTATTGAAAATATATACTCTGGCTTGGTGATCTGTCTTCCATTCTTTTCACAGTGTTTTTTTGATTAACAGAAATTCTTAATTTCAATACAGCCAAATTTATCAATCTCTTATAATTGGGTTTTTAAATTTTCATTTAAGAAATTCTTTGATATACTAAAATCAAAAAGACACGTTTCTATTTGATCATCTGCAAGCTTTGTAGATAAGCTTTGTAGTTTTGCCTCTTACATTTAAGTTCTAATTATTTCACCACATATTAACTTTTTCAAAAGACAGAATGATAGATTTTTGAAAAGATACTTTCTTATGAAGCCTCACCATATAGGTTCAATGACAGCTAGGATTATGCCAGATATATACATTTCCCCACATATCTGTATGAGGGGCATAATGTTTCAGATAACACCCATTTCTCCCTTGACTCTCTTTAAGGCTTGGCTCCTATAGAGGATTGTAAGTAGGTGGAATAGATCACCTGTCCAGATAAAATATAATTCTTTCATTCAGAAGAAAACAAGAATATCCATCTGCATAAAACAAGCATATTGTGTTGGCTGAATCCTATATCAAGAGTGGGGGAAATAGAGCCATAGTATATTATATGGCTATTCTAAATATATGTATATATTTATAAAATACTTATATTGCCAGAATGAGCATTTGTAAAATTCGAAATAAAAGTTAATATTTACTTGCTACAGATAAAAAGATGTATAGACTTTTATATAACCTAATGAGTGGGATAATTGTTATTCTTTACTGGGATGCTAATATATAAATACAGTTGACCTTTGAACAACACAGGTTTGAACTGCATGAATCTACTTATTCAAATTTTCTTGTAATGTTAGAGATTATGTAAATGTTCAGCACTAGCACAGTACAGTACTATAAATATATTTTTTCTTCCTTATGATTTTCTTAAGCTTTCTTTATTGTAAGATTGCAGTAGTATAATACATATAACTTATAAAGTATATATTAACTGATGGTTTATGCTATTGGTATGTCTTCCAAACAACAGTAGGTTTTAAGTAGTTATGTTTTGGGGGAGTCAAAAGTTGTATCAGATTTTCAACTGTGCAGGAAAGGGTTTGTGCCCCTAGCCCCTGTGCTGTTTAAAGGTCAACTACAGATGTATGTATAATGTATTTACACATACAGAGAATGAGTTATTTTCAAAGGTGTGTAAAAGTTCCAATAGCTAATAGGTCCTAAGATAATAAACTTATTTATGCACATATATCCTAATACACTTTTATGATTCTTCAAAGAAAATACTCTGAGATATTAAAAGATTTATGTAAAAGAATATAGAAGCATTGTTTATAATAGCAAAAGAAAATCCCTGGAAACAACAAAGTATTCCATGAGAGTCCGGCTAAATAAATTGTAACATCTATACAATGGATTATTACACAAATATTACAAATAAAATCTATTAAATGGCTTGAAGAAATATCATCGACCATATATCAAGTGGAAGAAAAGGATACAAAATCATACATGCTGTATCGTTCAATATTTGGGGAGAAAAACCAGAAGGACAAAACATACATATACATAGAAAAAAAGACAAAAATATACACCAGCAGGTATGGTGTCAGTTTATGTCTGGGTAGTGTATTTTTGTTTTGTTTACATTTTTCTGTTTTTCAAACTTTCTGCAATGAAATGTATTTAGGCATGCATGTTTAGTTAAGCAGAGATGCAAACATCCAAGCATTTCATCTGATTTGAACAGTATAAAAACCTGATATAATTTATTACTCTCAATTCTTAGGAAAAACATAAATAGCAAATACCTTTATCTCCTTTTTCAGACCACCAATTACAAGCTGGTTGTTTCTGTGGGGTTAGCAATCTAAAACACAATAAATAAAATGCTTGTATTATTTGCTGAATTGACAAATTATTTCAGAAATTATAGCATTTCTTATTTTTTAAGTTACCTGAACTGCAAAAAATCCTGTGAACTTTTAATAGCAGAACCTTTTGAATGGTTATTCACAGAAGAATCATTAAATACCTGAACAAAAGAAATCAAACATTAAAATTAGCTACACAAAAACAATAAAATTTTTTTGTTTCTTATGGCTAATCAGGACTCTCCTTTAGTATTGTCAGTCTTGTCACAGTCACCATTATTAACAATAATGATTATAAACATTAACTGAAAACTCTACATACAAAATATTAAGTCAAATACTGGGAAACAAAAAAGGTTTCAGATTCTCAAAGAATTTGATGTTTGTACCAAGTATAGTAACTATGGATGGTAGTATTTCTACATTTAAATTTTCCCCCTATTGATAACTAAAGTGAACCTTAGTTTGGTTTTTTTTTTTAAAGATTTATTTATTTATTTATACAAGCACTGGGTACAGTCAGAAATGCAGGAGGGTGAGAGAATTCTTCAGAGCCAGAGCAGGGAACAGAACAGGCAGAGTGATGAAACACACTGCTGAGGGGAGCAGCAGGCACGGCAGGAGAGGTCTGTCACGCCATGTGGGACCCTCCCTGGTGGCCGGGGATCAAACCGGCACTGCAGAGGCTGCGGGCAGCTTCGCAGCCCAGAGCTTAATCGTTGTGCCACCAGGGGAGGCCCGAACCTTAGCATTTTCTTAACTGATGACTTGATTTTTGTGTGCCTCTATTTTCTACAATCTCTCAAATTGAACATAGGAAAATAGGTTAAAAGATTAAAACCTGAGGGCCTCCCCGGTGGCGCAGCGGGTTGAATGCAGCTCTGTGAAGCTGTATGCAGCCTCCACAGCACCAATTCAATTCCTGGCCAGCCAGGAAGATTCCCACATGGCACAGCAGACCTCTCCTGTCTCGCCCTCTGCTCCCCTCAGCAGTGTATTTCAGTTCTTCTGCCTGTTCTGCTCCCTGTTCCCTCTCTGGTGGATTCTCTCAACCTCCCGAGTGCCTCTGGCCTGTACCCCAGCTCTTGTATAAATAAATAAATCTTTAAAAAAAAAAGATTAAAACTTGGAACCTTTAATATGTGTATGAAAGAGTTAGTATTTCATTATTAGCTATAAATAGTTTAATATGAATAACTAAACTACTGCTCTACTAATGTTTGGGTTTTTTTTTTTAAAGAATTACTCCTTTATTGTAAGATCTTTATTTTGCTTAGAACTGGGGTGTCAGCCAGAGGTGGAAAGGTGAGAGGATTCACCAGACACAGAGTGGGGAGCAGAACATGCAGATCCACTGAAATACACTGCTGAGGGGAGCAGTGAGCGAAACAGAAGTCTGCTGCATGGGTTAACTCCCTCGCCGGGGATCGAACTCAGGTCATAGTGGTGGGCCTTCACAGTGCTAGTGCTGAGACTTAAACCTAAGGCCACCAGGGCGCCCCACATTAATGTTTGTATTGACTGTTTTAAGACTTTCTTTCTCCTTGAGTCACACATTTTGAAGAGTCCCTGATTATTCTTATTGGTCCAAAATGAAAATATTTTAATAGAAAAATTTATCTCACTAATTTTTATTATAATAGTCATTGGCCTTAATTCTACCATCTTTTTGATAATAAGAACTTTTACAGTCATAAAAACGTTATTGAACATTTTAATATCTGGATTCTAATAGATGAAACCTGGTATCTCAGTTTAATTTGCATTTCCCTGTAACCCCAAGGTCAGGCATCTTGTTATTTTTAACAACTTTGTCTTTCCTTTTCTATAAGCTGTCTTATCATTTACCCATTTTTTTAAATTAATTTGTAAGAATTATGTATTTATTCATATATTATTGTATACCCTGGATACCAATTTCCTTTCCTATTCTGTCATTGTCTTTTAACTTTCTTAGTGTTTTGTCACACGGAAGCTTTTTATTTTGATGTAGTCCATTGATCAATTTGTCTTTTCTTACACCAGTGTTAAAACTGATGCATTTTAGTATTCTGGAATTAGATAATGGTAATGGTTATACTCAATATGAATAAACTAAAAGCCACTAAATTATACACTTTAAAATGGTGAGTTTTATGGCATGTGAATTATATCTCAACAGAAAAAGGGAAAATGAACATTTTGATATCTGGTAAGGTGAGTCTCTCTAACATTCTTTTCAAAAATCTTTTATTTTCAATCTTTACTTAAAATCATGTACTAGTCAGTTAGTGTATTTAAACATATTGATTTTTCTAATGTCAAACCGTAATTACATTTCTTGGGACAACCAAAGTTAGTCATAATATTTATTTTTTAACGTTATATATCAAATTTGCTTTTCTAATAATTTAATAATTTTACATCTATGCTCATTCTTCAGACTGACATAACTTTTCTTTCATAATCACTATCCTTGCAATCTAATGCATCAGTCATGCTATTTGATGGGTAGTTCCCAACTTTTTCAATACTGTGATATTGCTCTGTATAAAGATCTTATGTAATCTAGTGATTCTTGACTAGCAGCCATTTTTCTCTATGGAAATTTGACAATGTCTGGAGATATTTTGGGGAGTAAGATGTGCTAGTTTCTACTGGGTCACAAGACAACTCCACAACAAATAACCTCATCCAAATATCTACAGTATCACAATTGAGAAACTGACCTAATTCTTAAAAGTCTTATAGAATTCACCAGAAGAACTTAGCTGGTGTCTTCTCAAGGGTGCATGAGGGTATATGTGTGGTAGTGTGGGGGGAGGGAGGTTGGGAATGGAGAAAAGAGGGAAGCAGGTATTTGCTTACATTTCAGTTTCTTCTAGGTTATTGATCTATTCATGTATTTCTTTTTAGTTTATGTAACAATTTATGTTGTCCTAGAAAATTGTCCATCTTACCTAAATTTTCAAATTCATTATTATAGAGCATTACATAGCATTCTCTTAGGAATTTGAAAAGATTTTTTCCATATGTGTATTGATATGCACTTCCCCCCCCTTTTTTTTCTTTGGGGGGGGCTTTCTTTTTCTTTATACTTGCTGAAATTTTACTGATATTTAAAAATTATTAGCTTTTGTCTATATTGACCAACACAACTTTTTTATTCCTTAATTTCTGCTTTTTTTTTTATTATTATTTCTTTGCACTTATTTTGTTCTTTTCATACTTTGGGTTCTTAAAAGTTCAGCTAATTTTAATCTTTCTTGTTTTCAAATATAAATCTCTCTCTGAAGACCAATTTGGCTATTATTCCAAAGACTTGTTTTATAGTATTTTTAAAAAAGTTTTAATAGCCTGCTTTGACTTCTTTTATAACCCAAGGTAACTGGAAAGTATATGATTTTCTTTCTCCTCAGCAAAGTAATTTTTGAGGCCAGGGTTAACTTTTTGTTAAATTCTGTTTTTTTTTAATATTGATGTAAGACAGAAACTTAAAAAAATTGATTATCTTTTTTTGTTATAGTAAATGATCAATATTTGGTGAATAGTGCAAGCAAAAATTTAAATGAATTCTGTGTATGCTGGACACACAGTATGTTAGTTGTGTTAGACTGTCTACATCCTCACTTGTTTTTCCACTTACTTGATTTGTTCCTGTGGCAGAAACAACAGTTATCATTTGATAGTTATCCTTATCAAATGTCTGCATTTCCCCTGTATTCTTATTTTTAAAAACAAAAGAACACCTGTATTTCTCAACCTCTCCTGTAAATAGAGGTGTACATATGACTATATTCTGGCCAATGAAACTTTATTACAAATTGCTTAGGGAGCTTCCAAGAAAGATCACTAAAAATGGGGCTGATACAGCTAGTTCATCCCCCACCCCATTCTTCTTTCCTGCCTAGGAGGCAGATTTGATGGCAAAGTCGCAATGGTCAGTTTCTGATTATGCAGTAACCTTGGTAACCTTAGCACAAGGTAACCACAGCATCAAAGACAGTAGGAAAACAAAGTATAGATAAAGTCTGAAAAATAATGACATTGTGAAATGATGCTATCAGCCCTTATAAGTAAATCTGAATCATGTATTTTAGAATTTCATGGCAGGCAAGGAAAAAATAAATGTTTATCTTGTTTAAGACGATATTATTTCTTTGGTTTGGCTTTGTATTGTTTTATATGTAGTCAAACTCAACTCCTAAACTCAGAGTCAATACTTTTTTTGAGAGAACTATCCTGTTTTAAGTGTGTATTCAATAATTTCTTTAGAATTCTGTTCATTTTTGCTTTATATATTTTGTAACTGTAATAATTTGGTATATCATGGTTCTTATATCTTCTTTATAAATTATCATTTCTAAAATATAAAATATATTTATCCCTATTAATTTTTTTATTTGAACTCAGTTTTATATGGCATTGTTACTTTTTTTATTTGCATTTACCTAATACATATTTTCCATTTTCTTTTTAGTCATTATTTGTCAAGTTGTTTCAGTTGTTCTGTTTTAATAGTATATAACTATGTTTTCTTTAATATCCCATAGGAATACCTCTGTTTTTTTTAAGATTTATTTATTTTGCATAGAAGAAATGGGGTACAGGCCAGAGGTGTGGGGGTTGAGAGGATTCACCAGAGACAGAGTGGGTAACAGAATAGGCATGTTGACTTAAATACACTGCTGAGGGGAGTAGCGGGAGAGTCAGGAGAGGTCTGCTGCACCATGTGGGTAGCTCCCTGGATTGGGTTCGAACTTATGATGCAGTGGCTGCAGATAGCTTCATAGGTTGCATCTTAACCCTTTGTGCCACCGGAATACCTCTATTTTTAATGGGCATTTAACTCAGTCACATTTTTATGATTACTGATTTGGCAAGAGCTATTTCTGGCATTTTGTTTTCTATTTACTGTCTACCTGCTTTGTACTTTCATTCTTGCCTTTTCTTGAACCAATCAAGTTTTCTTTGTTTAATCTTTTCTTCTTCTACTGTTTTAAGACGTACACATACCATTTCTCGTCTAGTGATTACATTGAATGTTTACTAAGCATTCATTCATGACATTTTTATTCCTATCTCCTCCTTAACTCCATTCCCAAACAAAAAAAAGACCTTGAATAAAGTTTTGTTTTCCTCATTTATATTCCCACCTTCATCCCATAATGGAATGGGATTTTAGTCTGAAATTTTAGTAACAGGTTTTAAAATTTTTATAATTAATAACATATTTAGATTTCTATGGTCACACTGTATTAATTAATTAAATTATGAATTAATTAAATGCAACTATATTTTTCTTTAAGAATTTCCCTCTGGAATATTTTCAGAAGGAATGGAAGAAGACTGATGTGCTACATCAAAAACTTTCCTTCTGGGTGGTATGATCCTTGCTCTTCATGAGCATTAAGAACCAAATTAAGAATCACCCAGAGTACCATTCATCTTTTTTAACCCAAGCTCCCATGCTCATCTTCCCCCTGATATCACTGCCATGCATTGCTTATGCCCGGCCAAAAGTAGAAGTTAATTAAACTACCTCAACACTGAAGAAACCCAAACAATTACCCTTTTTATTGTCCCCAGACATATACCTTCTGCAAAAGTATTCTCCTGGGCCTCCCCGGTGGCGCAGTGATTGAGTGCTGGGTTGTGAAGCTGCCCGCGGCCTCTGCAGCACCGGTTTGATCCCCGGTTGCTCCCTGGCCACCGGAGGAGGGTCCCACATGGCGCGCAGACCTCTCCTGCCGCCCGCTGCTCCCCTCAGCAGTGTACTTCGCTCCTTCTGCCTGCTCTGCTCCCTGCTCTGGCTCTGGTGAATTCTCTCACCCTCCCGCGCTTCTGACTGTACCCAGTGCTTGTATAAATAAATAAAAAACAAATAAATAAATAAATCTTTAAAAAAAAAAAGTATTCTCCTGTGCAAGTAGTGGGCTACAATTTCCCTCTTCAAAACCAATCTTCTCTTTCAGAAATGTCTCACAGTTTTGGGTCCACCAGGTGCATGGCCTGGTATTTTTAAATATATTTTCAAATATTTTTAGCAGTGAGGTTACAGTATACTCAAGCTGCCATATTGAAACTCTTAGGAATTTTAGACCCTGAGGTTGTACTGATGGCTGATTTAACATGTTTATAACACACACACACAAACATAACCTTATATCCAAATGTAGTACATTCATTATTTCATTTAAAGCAAGTAAGAATTTAAGGGCCTCCCCGGTGGCGCAGCGGTTGAGCGCTGGGTTGCAAAGCTGCCCGCAGCCTCTAAAGCACCGGTTCGATCCCCGGCTGCTCCCGGCCACTGGAGAAGGGTCCCATCCCACATGGCGCAGACCTCTCCTGCCGCCCGCTGCTCCCCTCAGCAGTGTACTTCGCTCCTTCTGCCTGCTCTGCTCCCCGCTCTGGCTCTGGTGAATTCTCTCACCCTCCCGCACTTCTGACTGTACCCAGTGCTTGTATGTATGTATCAATCAATAAATAAATCTTTAAAAAAAATAAATAAAGCAAGTAAGAATTTAATTTGTACTAGTTAAAAAAAAAATACCAACCTGTGTATCATTTTCTGTTTGTCCAAGCTCAATATTGGCAAGCTTTAACTGCTTCACAAAATGGTCTTCTTTTTTATCTAGGTTATTAAATAATAAAACTTTAAAATCAATTCTGAAGATAGAATAAAATACTATGCCCAAGACTTAACCAAACCTTGTAATTTACAAAAGTCTACATGAATATTTAAATTAGAATATAGAAAAAAATTATTAAAAACTCAATTCTTTCACTACATAATAGTTATTACAACAACTATGAATGTAAAATGAAAACCACCTGACAACACTACATCTTTATGAGGAAATAAAGAAAACAGAGTGGTGATGTTAATAACTGCTGTGGTAAAGGGGGAATTGGTGGAGGAACAGACAACATAATTAATCTAATACAGTGCAGTTATTAATCTAATCTGCAGATCCGTTGCAAGCAACATGACTCAAACATCTCAGTGATTAAGTCACAAATATCAACACAAATCTGATATTCACCATAATCAACAGGCTAATAAACTTTTCAAATGAAAAATATGCAAGTATTCAATCTCCTCTGACAGCTGTGTAACCAGACAAGACTTTAATATCTCCCTCAAAGAGAAAAAAATGAGGTATACAAGATATATCTTGTTTGCTCTCACAAAAAAATCAAAGTTGTGCTTTCCTGAGTCTATCAGTCTCTACTATAGTATGTTCTTGCTTCTATACCAAATGATAATTAAAATTGCTTCTATATCTTCTATGTATTTGCAAAGAAAGCTGTTTTTGATACTATACCTAAAACTCTTGGTTCTGAAGAATATGTCTTTATTGTTGTGATTAGTTTTTGAGATTCGTAAGGAAGAAATACTTGGTTATCTTGAGGGGTTTTATTCAACATAAGTACAATTTCATCTTTTTCAAAAATTCTAAAGAGAAAGTTACATCAAATAGTCAAGTAGAAATCAAAATATTTTAAAGATAGAAGAGATATTTGGATAATGAATAGCTCAAACTTACTATTTTTCAAATAATGAAACTGAATTTCAGAGAATTTAATAGATCTGTTCAATATTATTAAATTACTTACTAGTGTCATAGCTAAAATATAATTTAAGTTCAGTGCTTCTTCTCAGCATAGCATGATCATTTTTAAAATTTAATCATTTTTAAAGACCTTCTAAACATATCCAAAACATTTTAAATCAAAACTATCCACAGATAGCATGCTTAATATTTCAGAGTATTTCAAACTTTGTTTACTCAGAAACAAATCCACTAGGATGAATAAAGAAATAATTACAGCAGTATTCCAATCATAACTGGGTCTTCACAATTTTTACTGGAATAATTTCACTGAATTTTCCTAAATTAAATAATTTTGATTACAGTAATCAAAATAACTTAAATGACATCAAAATAACATATGAGTGAAAATTTCAAGTTATAGAAGTTCCTTTCAATACAGAAAAATTTTTATAATATTAAAAGGTTGTCAATGAAGTGAAATTCTGTACATTTGCCTATTTTCCTAATTAGTTCTATTATAAAATTAAAGATACATGACCATAGATGTGAGATGTGAGAGTAACGGAACTAAGAAAATAACAGATCCAAGGCCTCCCTGGTGGCCTAGGGGTTAAGTCTCAGCACAATCACCACAATGGCCTGAGTTCGACCCCCAGCCAGGAAGCTAACCCACATATGGTACAGGAGAGCTCTCCTGTCTCTCTTGCTGCTCCCCTTAGCAGTGTACTTCAGTAAATCCACCTGTTCTGCTCCTCACTCTGTTTCTGGTGGACCCTCTCGCCCCCCACACTTCTGGCCTCCCACACCTCTGGCCTATGCAAAAATAGATAAATAAAATCTTTAAAAAAAAAAAAAAGAAAGAAAGAAAGAAAAGTAAAATAACAGATCCAAAGAAATGGAATCAGGGAAGTTAATTTGGAAAAGCAGTGCATTGAAAAATCAGGTAAGCACAATAAAGCCTGAAGAAAGGAATTTAAGAATGAATAATGGGCCTCCCTGGTGGCGCAAGGGGTTGAGACACAACCTATGAAGCTATCTATGAAGCTATCTGCAGCTTCTGCAGCACAAGTTTGATCCCCAGCTGGCCATGGAGATATCCACATGCCGCAGCAGACCTCTCTTGACTCGCCCGCTGCTCCCCTCAGCAGTGTATTTCAGTAGATCTGCCTGTTCTGTTACCCGCTATGTCTCTGGTGAATCCTCTCATCCCCACACCTCTGGCCTGGACACCAGTTCTTATATGCATAAGTACATAAATCTTCAAGAATGAATAATGATGTAGGCAGAAGAGAAAACATAGAAACTTTTATCAGAAATAGCAACAGTAACAGGCAAAATGAAAATTTTTTAAATGCCTAAAACACCGATGTCTATTTTATCACTATTACGATGAAAGACAAAGAAAACCATTATGTCATAGATTCAATAGTATTTTGGCTCTTCTTCACTTTCTATGGCAAAGGATAAACTGGTCAAACAGGTGTTTAAAAGGTAAATACAAAAACTCTTCTCTTGTTTTACTTCTATTAGTGATCATCATGGAGAATATGATAAAAAGTACAACTGACAGTCTTCAGAACAGCAGATGTGTTGCTACCACCTTATTTCTCTCTATATATTATCTTTGGACTTACTAAATAACAAACAGATTTGAATATTAGTCACAGATTTTTAAAGATATAAATTTTAAAAGAAATGAATAAAAAATAATCTGCGTAATAAATTATACAGGTACTATATAAATAATAGTGGCTTGGGATAATACCTAGAATCAATTTTCTTAGACAAATAATATCTAGTCACATGAAATTGAGTTTTAAAGTTGACCTATACCTTTCTTTCAAATCCTTTCTCTTCTCTATACTTTTACTTTTTTCTTCTATGGTCTCTGAAAGATTTTTAGTTTTATAAAGTCTTGTAATATGCTAAAAAAAAGAAAAAGAAAAATGACAGCAAAATAATTACCTGCAAAGCATAAGAAACACACTTTATCTTAAAAAATGACTGTGACTGTTTTCTGTGTAATCACAAGACATAATTTTGGTAGTATTAGCTATCTTTTAGTGAAAGTTGCTACTAATAGAGTCAAAATTAACAATAAATCATATAGCTTTAACTTTTCCTTATAACTGCATTAGCAAACCTAGATTTCAATGAACTTCTATCTTCTTTTCAAAAAAGGTCAGAAGCAAAGTATATATTAATTCCCTATACTGAGACAAAGTTACCATATTTTTTAAAGAAAATTACTTCTACTTTCTTATTACTAAAACATAACTGTTATTTGGAATTTCATACCTATGAATGATAAAGATACCATCTTTAACACTTTTCAAAAAATTTAGAAAGTTAGCTATTCAATTTTTTCCTCAAAATTTGGGAATGACTTTGATGGGTTCTCATACTTGTCAAGGGAAGCCATAGTTCAATAGATGTCACTAAAAATATATTCAAGAAAATATTATACACCATCAATCTTAAAAACTTAGCTAGTTTTAGTCTGGCTCTATAAAGATTTCATACCATGTCAATCATACAGCTGTGAAAATCAAGAGTATCTAAAAAGATTATAGTCATAAATTTTCAATATTAAGCTCTTTAAAACATTTACTACTGTCTTGCTCTTATTTTTGACAACACTGTTGTAGCTCTTTTAATGCCTTATCTCTATTCTTTACTCACCACTCTCCCACAAAGAAATCTAAACACTCCCCCAAAGCTTAGAGTTCAACACAGTCAATACCGAAACACATTTTGGCTTTAAGAATCTGAGCAAATAAATTATTTTAAGCCCTTGTCCATATTTAGGCTCTTTAGAAATAGTTCTGTCAATTAACATACCATTACACTCACACATTAATACTTATACTAGAAACATATAACAAAATATATACCTGGTTTAAATAATTAATTTCTATTTCCACTTCATGTACTTCTTTCTTCAATTCAGATGAATGTTTGGAAAAGCTGCTGACCTGCTTAAGAATATCTTGTGTTTTCCCTCTCAAATTAACCCTTTTAGGTTAAGGAACTATGTTATGGAAAAATAATTTACATTTATAATATATGTATTATATAAGAAATATATAATACATAATGATGTATTATACCAGAATAATTTCTCCTCTGTAACATTATTTACATATGTTCCATATAAGCAAATAACAATATCAATAATAGTATCTGAAACAGATAAGAGCAATTAGTTGGCAAAGATAATTTTTTAATCTATGTCAAATATTAAGCTTAAAAAAATAACGTTTCTTCCAAAATACTGGTAGGATTTTTTTCTTTCAGCTAAATTTTTTCACAGGATGGTGTTTTGCTTTTGCTTTTTAAACGAAGTTCATCATGTCATTTGGCTAGACTAACAAAATCAATTCAGCTTCAAATTTAACATCTTAATTTTCTATTTTTTATTATAAAATTAACATTAAAAATTCACCCAATTTCCCTTTTTATTGCTCTGTAAGGCAATAAAAGCATCAGTGTACCCTGAAGAATTCAGAAAAGAGCTAGATCTTCCATCTATACTTTCTGCTTAAGCAGGATTCATACCCAATTTAAAGTAGAGAATTTCTCAGCTGTTAACAGGCATGATTTGTTATTAGCTAATACAAATTCCTGAGTTATTCTACAATCCACTAGGAGAATTTAGAAATGAATAGAATAGTGATGGTGAACAAGAACTTAAGAAAACATTTCAGTTATTTTCTTAACCATGTAATCTTACATCTCATCCTATCCTACATCCAACTTCCTAAACCCTTGGTATATCTTCTCCAATCTCTGCCCCTTGCCACAGAGAAGTTAAAACACAGATGGAAAGCAAATGAGTAACGAAGAATAGAATAAGCTAAAACCTAAACATGAAGAGAGTAAGCAACAAAGAAGTTAAAAGGATGATTTAGGATGAAGCAGAATAAAGCAAGGTAAAGCACAGAGATATACAAGACTCAGCACAAACAGTTAATGTTATGTTTTGATAGGTAAGCATATGAAGAATTATGGAAATTGAAAGATTAAAGTTCCAAGATTATACTAGAGAAGATCCTGACAAACACGAGAGACTCAGAACAATTAAGAATTACTTAAGCATTGAGCAATGCCAATTAATACATGAGTATGCCTCCTCTACTAAACTACAAGCTCCTTGCAAAAAAGTTCTGTACAGATTTTCCCCCATTATCCAAAATAACAATGTTCCTATTTGGCATGATTTGGTAAATTATTTTTGGGTCTGAGAATGCTCAAAAATTTTTCCATAAAAATTAATGGGAATAGCATTTCCACCCCCCCAAAAATAGTAATAATCTACCAAATAGGAATACTCTACTTTCAGACAGAAAGGAAAGCTGTATCTTCTTGAGTATTACCTGGCACAACATAGTTAGCCAATGAATTTCTATATATGAACAAATAATGGACTCATCTCCTTAAATATTCCATCCTACCAAGCAATAATCAGTTGATTTAACTGGACCTCTAAGACAAACATGATTTTTTCACTGGTTTGGTCACTAAGAATTACAACATAAAGTCACATACATATACCACTTGATTCTCATTAAAAATGCTTGCTTCTGATTGAATACTCATATATGAAAACAAATTCCAGATGACCTTTAAAGTAACTTCTAAACTTCTAAAAATTTTAAATTAAATATAGAACAAATTCATGTGACTTTTCCAAAGAAAACATAATAGCAATTAAAATGCAGAAATAATACTTTTCTAACTTTTCTAAAAATACAATTCCAAGTAGAAATACTATTGTGGATACATATGTAATGCCCATTTAGTAAGTGATGGAAAAGGAGCAGGCACTGAAAAAAAAAATCATATTTTAGACTGATACATTATTTTCACTACAAAAATACTGTTATTAAAACTATAACAAAAAAATGTGAATACCTAGAAATTCCATAAAAATAGTTTCATTCATTTTTAGTTCTTCAGTACATGCCAACACTCTGCTTTGAATTTCTTCAAGTTCTCTTTTCTTCTCATAATATTCATGTGAAAGGGGTGTTTCAGAGTATTTTAGTTGATATTGCTTCAAAACATCTTTATACTGACATACATAGTCATGGTACATTTTTCTGTTAAAATGAAAATAAATGAAGTTGACATAACAAGTTTATCTAGAAACTCTCTACATATAACTTGTTAAAGTCTACTAAATTATGCATAAGTCAAAACATCTACCATGCTTGCTTCTATCAGTGCTGTCTGCCTCACTTAACTCCAACATATTTTTAATTATCAACTCTTTCTTACTACCTATTTATTACTTAATCTCTTCAATTTAACTTCCACTCCCACTATTCTAATGAAACTCTATTTCCCAACATCAATAATGACCTAATTTGTCCAACTCAGTGATCTCTTTTTAAGTTCTCATCCTAATAATTGACATACTATACTACAGAACCTGGTTCTTTTGATCAGTCACCTTTGAATCTCTATCCTCACAGAATTCTGAGTCTCTACTCTCTCCAAATTCAAATACCCCTACAACTTTGACTTTTAAATTTACTTCAATTTTCTAAGTGAACATTATCACATGATGTCATGTTCTGAGTGTCAGAACTCTGGGTTCACAATCATTCTTGTATAGTCCACAACTTATTTTATCTTCAAAACTTAAGCACTATTCAGAGAAACTCCTATCAAATTCAGGGGTGTGTGTATGTGTGTGGGTGATCATCTATTTAAGCATGTTGAGTGGGATACATAATTTTTGCAATGAGCATTCTTCCTTCCCATTTGGCCTTGATCAGGGGTTAGTTTTGACTTATGGGTCAAATTTGACTTGCAACCTGTTTTTGTATGGTCCATGAGCTAAGAATGGTTTTTATATTTTTAAATGATTAAAAAATGAAAATAATACTTCATGACTCATTAAAAGTATAAGAAATTCAAACTACAATGTCCATAATTAAAATTTTATCAGAACCCAATCATTTATGTATTATATAAAGTTGTTCTTGCACCACTATAGCAAGTTAAACAGTTAACAGAAACTGTGTAACACCTGAAACCTAAAAAAAGTTTGCCAAACCTGATCTACAACATTAAAAAAGTTCAATTCAGGTTCATTATAAAAACTAGATTCTTTGGCCTCCCTGGTGGCCCAAGCGGTTGAGATGCAGCCTATGAAACTGTCCGCAGCCACAGCAGCATGAGTTTGATCCCCAGCAGGCCAGGGAGCGACCCATGTGGTGCAGTAGACTTCTCCTGACTTGCCCACTGCTCCCCTCAGCAGTGTATTTCAGTCAATCTGTATATTCTGTTCCCCACTCTGTCTCTGGTGAATCCTCTCACCTCCCACATCTCTGGCCGGTACCCCTGTTCTTGAATGCATAAATAAATCTTTTTTTTTTTTTAAAAAAAAAAGATTTATTTATTTTTATACAAGAATTGGGGTACAGGTCAGAGGCACGGGAGGGTGAGAGGATTCACCAGAGTGGGGAACAGGACAGGCAGATTGACAAAATACACTACTGAGGGGAGCAGCGGGCGAGACAGGAGAGGTCTACTGCACCATGGGGATTCTCGCCTGCCAGCCAGGATCAAACCCATGCCGCAGAGGCTGCGAACAGCTCCACAGTGCGCTGCTCAACCGCCTGCGCCACCAGGGAGGCCCAATAAATAAATCTTAAAAAAAAAAAATAGATTTTTGGATCCTGCTTTTACCCAATTATTAAATATCTAGTTTCATGGAAAAATATTCATAGAAAAATTTCCAAATATATATAGTTTTTAATGTTCCTCAAAATTCCCTAAATTTTTAAATCAAGCCATACAATATCTTACAAGATTCTGTAATAAGCTATGACATCAGCAATTAAGATGTTTTGGAGGGCCTCAACGGTGGCGCAAGAGTTGAGCGCTGGGTTGAGAAGCTGGCCGCAGCCTCTGCAGCACCAGTTCGATCCCCGGCTGCTCCCCGGCCACGGAAGGAGGGTCCCACATGGTGCGCAGACCTCTCCTGCCACCTGCTGCTCCCCTCAGCAGCGTACTTCGGTCCTTCTGCCTGCTCTGCTCCCTGCTCTGGGGAATTCTCTCACCCTCCCGTGCTTCTGACTGTACCCAGTGCATGTATAAACAAAAACAAAACAAAACAAACAAATAAATAAATAAAACATGCCTCCATTAAAAAAAAAATTTAAAAAAAATTTAAAAAAAGATGTTTTGGAGACTTGACTTCATGGCAAAAGGAATGAGAGCAAAAATTAACCACTGGGTTTACCTCAAGTTAAAAAGCTTTTGCAAAAAAAAAAAAAAGCTTTTGCAAAGTGAAAGCATGTATAAAAGATTTAAAAAGACATTGTAATTGAAGGAAAAATATTCACACAATATATAAATTATAAGTGGTTAATATCCAAGTGATATAAAAAAACCCTCACAATTTAACAACAGAAAAACAACCCAATTAATAAATGGGCAGGAGCTATGAAGACACAATTTACCAGAGAGGACATCCAGAAGGTCAACAGATATATGAAAAAAAAGGCTCATCATCACTTCCAATAAGAAAGATGCAAGTTAAAACCACAATGAGATACCACCACTTCACAACTGTGAGAATGGCACATATCAAAAAGACCCCCAACAACAAGGATAAGAGGATGCTGAGAAAGGGAAACCCTATTACACTCTTAGAGGGAATGTAAACTAGTGTAACCATTATGGAAAGCCTTTCCATACCTGGAAGTGATGAATCTATCTGGATTCATCTTAAAAAACAAAAAATGGAAATACTGTCTATGATCCAGCAATTCCACTCTTGGGCATTTGTCCAAAGAACACAAAACCATTAATGCAAAATTAATATAGTACAATGTTTAAGAGTAGTACTATTTACAACAGCTAGGATATGGAAGCAGCCTAAATGCCCTTCAACAGACAATCAGATTAAGATGTGATATATTCGCACTATGAAATGATGTTCAACCATAATGAAAAGATGAAATGTAGCAATTCACAGCAAAATGGACAGCAATTTTTTAAAATTTATTATTTTAATTTTATATATTTTTTACATCATTTTTTCATTTTTGCACAATGTATGCATTTTCATCTTGGTGATAGTCCCCATACAATTCTCATCACCCCCCTTGTTTTGATCCTACTCTCTCCTCCCCCTGTAGTGTGTCTCTGGTTTATAGCTGCTTGTTGATTTTGATTTTTACTTTATTATAATTAGTCTTTTTCCTGGTCCCTTATTTAGGTTTTCTAAATTCCTGCTATGAGTGAGACCATTTGGTATTTTTCTTTTTCTTTCTGGCTTATTTTGCTGAAAATGATCCCTTCCAGCTCCATCCATGTTGCTGAAAATTGCATGAGTTTATCTTTTTTGATTGATGAGTAATATTCCATTGTGCATATGTACATCTTCTTGATCCAGTCATCTATTTTTGGGCATTTGGGTTGTCTCCAAAGCTTAGCTATTGTAAATAATACTGCTATAAACATAGGGGTGCAGATGCCCTTTTGAATTAATGTTTCTGTGTCCTTTGGGTAAATACCTAGGAGTGGAATTGCTGGATCATATGGAAGCTCCATCTTTAGCAGGTGGAGGAATCTCCACACAGCTTTCCATAGTGGCTGGACCAGTTTGCACTCCCACCAGCAGTGCAGAAGAGTTCCTTTTTCAGTGGAGAGAAATTGAGGGAATTATTTGTAGTAAAACAAGTCAGAATTGCAAAATGAAATAGCAGACATTTAACATATGATTTAACAAAGTAAAATACAAAAATGAGCAGACATTAAAAAAAATAGTGAGAGCTCTGAGGTTAAGAAGGAAAAGGGAGAAAGGGACAGGGATATAATGGCGGTGGGGTAAAAAGATGAATATAGAAGGTGGGGCTGAAGGAAGATGATGGATAGACAGGATCCTTGAGCTACTGCTTCCTTCAGGGACACTGAAGATAGGCACATGGAATGGAAATGGGGATGTAAGGACTAAGAGGTGAAATAAAAACCATTGGAAAGGGTAGAAGAAATTGATAAACAGTAAGAACTGTCCCAGTTCACCAGGAGGGATACCTGTCTTCCTCCCCCTGAGTTCCCTGAGTCCAGCCTGGGAGAGAGAGCACATACTTCTCAGCCAGGGAAAAAATAGTTTTTAAAAAATCATATATATGTGTGTGCATGCACATGCAAATACACGTATATGAAAATAGATACTGCTCTCATGAAATTATGCTAAAAATATAAACATTTCAAATTTTTTAATTAGGTGAAATTTTAACACTATATAATCTATTCAAAGTCCCTCAACTTATTTTATTATATTTACTAATTACATTTAGTCCCCAAGACCATGTGATTTTACACATAATAAAGTCATACTGGTGTTTCTCCATCAGAATACAACACTTCACTAAGTCAGCATTCTTTAAAACAGAAGTTTGGCATAAAATACTCTAAGTAAATACTCTCATTTTTCATAAGCTAATTCTACAGCTAATTATTTCCCCAGATGTTTGCTTGTAACAATTCAGTCATAAAGTTCATTAATTAAAGCACCATGCCATAGTAAGTGCTACTGTTAAACAGTTTCTAAACAAATCCAGGGTTCAAGAGCTTTATAAAAAAAATAGGTAGATCTCAAATGGTAACCAAAAAATACAAACCACTAGATTTAACAAAAACCCCCACAATATACAAAATTTCTACATTTTTCATTTAACATTCTTATCAAAGCGTGTCCTATTAATACTAATTTATAAGACTGATAAGCTTAAAAATATGTACTGTACTTGTCTTTTTCAATAGCTTCTTGAAAAACAGCAAACTGGTCCTGCATATAGTCTTCATGTTTATGAAAAACATCACAGGTTGGCTTCCAGCTATGAGAAAAATTACAATTAGCATCTCAGAATTACAAGCAAAATAAGAGATAATAAAAATTAAAGTAATCATTTAAAGATAGAGGAATCTTTCTCATGCTGGAGAAACAAGCTTACATGAAGAAAAACATTCCCATCTTCCATTACCATTCATCATTCACGCAACTATAAAGATGCTCAAACATCAATATCCATTAACTTTTACATTAAACTTGCTTAGGAATCATGACTAGGAAATGAACAAATATGACATGGCATCTATGCAACATTCCAACACCAGGTGTTCTTGCTTATCATACGTCTAAGATACTGTTAAATTCTTTTGGAAAAAGCATTCAAAGAGTTAGCATAAGGGCTAAAGAGCAGCTTCCTTTGCAACTTAAAAAGTCAGGTTGTTTACAACCTCCTCAGAAACTAGGACAAAATTAATTATAAAATCAGATAGTAGAAAAAATATTCATCTTATACATTTTTTAAAAAGATTTATTTGTTTGTTTATTTGTTTGTTTATTTATTTATACAAGCACAGGGTACAGTCAGAAGTGTGGGAGGGTGAGAGAATTCACCAGAGCAAGAGCGGGGAGCAGAGCAGGCAGAAGGACCAAAGTATACTGCTGAGGGGAGCAGCGGGCGCGACAAGAGAGGTCTGTATACCATGTGGGACCCTCCTCCGGTGGCCGGGAGCAGCCGGGGATTGAACCGGCCCAGCAGAGGCTGCGGGCAGCTTCGCAACCCAGCGCTCAATGGCTGCACCACCGGGGAGGCCCTACATTTTTTGTTTTATTAAATGACAAAAACGTTACCAATGTAAAAAAATTGAAAATGAGGATTATGCCATGAAGGCTTCTAAGTATTAGTCAAATATTTCCTCTTACTCTTTTTACTAGTCCTTTTTATTTTTTCATATTCAAAAAGTATACATTCCCACTTTGGAAACACAGAAAAGTACATTTAAGAAAAACAATTATTACCTATGTAACTACATTGATACTATTATTTTAATAAATCATTTCCTGATATTACTATACATATATATTTGAACATTTCTGAGGTTATATTCATATACAATATCTCCTTTATCACTTACTTTTAAATTGTATACTAGGTATTACTGTAAAGGTTTTAATAAATACATCAAAAACATAATTTAACTATTCCCATACGGTTTACCAATTTTGCTTACTCCAAGTTTCTCTGTAGTAAACAGAACTTATACTTAAATATTTGTCTGAATTTCTAATAACTTTCTTAGAAAATATTCTCCAAATGGAATTATAGTGTCAAAGGTTACATATATATATATATATATATATATATATATATATATAGTCTGAATATTTTTAAAAATCCGTAAGAGGGCCTCCCTGGTGGCCTAGGGGTTAAATCCCTGCACTACCAACTCAAAGGACCTTCACCATGGCCTGATTTGATCACTGACCAGGGAGCTAACCCACATGGCGCAGCAGACCTCTCCTGTTTCACCTTCTGCTCCCCTTATGAGTGTATTTCACTAGATCTGCCTGTTCTTCTCCCCACTCTGTCTCCGGTGAATCCTCTCACCCCCCACACTTCTGGTCTACACCCCAGTTCTTACATGCAAAAATAAAATAAAAAATCCATAAGAAATACTTGTTTACTAAAAAGATATTAACTGTAAGCATTCTGATGTATACCTTTATACATAGTTTCTAATTATATATAAATATACAGTGCTAAATTGGGTTCATACTGTGAATGTTACTATGAATACTGCTTTGTTTAACTTGTAACACACTATTAAGATCTTTCCATGTCAATAAATATACACTTACATAATTTTATTGGTTGCCTAATATTCATTCATATGAATATACCGAATTACCTAATGTTGAACATTAAAGCTGCTTCCAGTTTTCCTATCATAAAAAAGGTTGGAATAACCACTTTGCTGTAATTCTATCTTTGAGAGACTGCCCAATTATTTCCTTATGAAAAATTCTCATAAACTGTTCAATCAGAAAGTTTTTAAAAATATAGTGACATATCGTACAAAAGATTGTTCCCTATGTATACTCCAATAGCGTGTCAGAGTTCATTTTTTTATTCCTTGACCAACAATGGGTATTATCTTTAACTGTCGGTTAAGTATTATTGCTTTAATTTGGATGTCTCTGATTATCAGTAAGATTAAATATCTATCCACATGTTTATTAGACTTACATTTTTCTTCATGTTCGGATTTACCTGTTTACCTTCTTGCCCTTTTGTCTAGTGGGCCTTTTCTTTTTTTTATATAGTTTTTAATTAACCTGTATTTGACATTTTACTACCTTATCCTTTTACATCATTTTGGCATATACATTTTTAAATATTTTTTAAAGATTTATTTATACAAGCACTGGGTACAGTCAGAAGTGCGGGAGGGTGAGAGACTTCACCAGAGCCAGAGCGGGGAACAGAACAGTCAGACTGACGAAATACACTGCTGAGGGGAGCAGCGGGCATGGCAGGAGAGGACTGCGCACCATGTGGGACCCTCGCTGGTGGCCGGGATCGAACCGGCGCTGCAGAGGCTGCGGGCAGCTTCGCAGCCCAGCGTTCAACCGCTGCACCACCAGTGGAGGCCCACATTTTTTAATTTTTATGTAGAACATTTATCCATTGCTTCCTAGTGGATGCATCAGGACTCTGATCTACTTTGATGATATACTGAGAAAGACCTCTTAAAAATTACATGATCACCCTTATTTTCTTCTAGTACTTTCATTAATTCATATTTCACATTTAAATTTCTTAATCAGTATGCTGAAATCATGAACAGCAGGAATTTATGTCATTAAAAACCAGCAGAGATTATGTTGTATAAAATATGTACATCTTGAATATGACAGGTTCTAAGGGAAAAACATTCAATACCTTTCCAGCACCCAATGGTGCTCTTTGAGGGCAATGACTGGTAAAACCTAATACAATAAAACATAAGTTGAGTCAAAAAGCTCAACAATTTGTAGGGTTTTTTTGATCAGATTGTCAAAAAATTTTAACATTGATAATTTCAGTGTTAGCACGGGTGTGAAGAAATAGGAATTCCCATATACTTTGGTGGGAATATAAATTAGCACAATCCTTTTGGAGAGCAGTTTGTCATCTATCAAATGTATAAATATGCATTCTCTGCTCTAGTAAGTTCATTTATATGAATTCATTCTATAGCAATATGTTTGTAAATATCCAAGGATATCTCTACATGTTGCTTATAATAGGGGAAAACAAGGAATAACCTTCTCTTTAATAGAATGGTTAAATGACTTAGGATACATCCATACAACAATTCTACAGAGCTGTTAAAAAGAATGAAATCTATATATAACCATGACATGTTTCATATCATTTATATTACATACTGCTTATATTTTAAGAAACACGTTAAGGAAGTATGGTATGGTCCCATTTTTTCAAAAAAGGAAAGATACATAAATAAAGGTGTATATAAGTATATGTAATAATGATGTAGAATATTTACTGGAAAAGGTATGAAAGGCTACTCAAATTGTTGAATTATTATTCATAAAGAAGAGGAGAGGATGGGGTGAGGAGTACATGAAGGGGAAAACATTTTACTCCGTACATTTGTATAACTTAAAAATTTGTATACTAGGTATGTGTTACTTTACAACCAGTATAAAAAAGTAACGTGGGAAAAAAAACATTGAATGACTTACTAAAATTCTGAATAACATTTTAAAACAAGCATAATTCTATATTAGTTAATGTAATGTAAAACTAAACACAGGAAATAAAGACATTTTTGTAAGTATTTATAATATACAATAAAGCTCCATTAGCATCTTTGTGTTCAAAATTTCCTATTTAACTACTAGAATTCAGAACCTGAATTAACACTGAGTACTTTTACTTTGAAAAACTGCTAATTTTAGGGTAGATTCCTATAGTCAAAAATAAGACCTGGGGCCTCCCTGGTGTCCATGGGGTTAAGATGCAGCACTAAGAAGCTATTCCCAGCCACTGCAGCACAAGTTCAATCCCTGACCAGGGAGGTGACCCACATGGCACAGCAGACCTCTCCTGTCTTACCCGCTGCTCTCCCCCGCAGTGTATTTCAGTCATTTCTGGCCATGCTCTGTCTCTGGTGAATCCTCTCACCCTCTGCACCTCTGACCTGCACCCCAGTTCTTGTATGCATAAGTAAATAAATCTTTCAAAAAGAGAAGATCTTGGGCCTCCCCGGTGGCGCAGTGGTTGAGCGCTGGGTTGCGAAGCTGCACGCGGCCTCTGCGGCGCCGGTTCGATCCCCGGCTGCTCCCCGGCCACCGGAGGAGGATCCCACATGGTGCACAGACCTCTCCTGCCACCCGCTGCTCCCCTTAGCAGTGTACTTCAGTCCTTCTGCCTGCTCTGCTCCCCACTCTGGCTCTGGTGAATTCTCTCACCCTCCCGCGCTCCAGTGCATGTATAAACAAAACAAACAAACAAATAAATAAATAAAAACATGCCTCTATAAAAAAAAAAAAAAAAGAGAAGATCTTAAAAATTCTAAGATGAAAATTCTTTCTTATTTATCTAATAGGAATTTTATATACTGAGCCTAGATTATCAAAAATCTGTATTTAAACTAACTGGATTTGAATTAGCTCTTACAGCACTTAGATTTTTCTTTTGATCCCTGATAACTTTTTACAGAGGCATTTAATAAGGCAATTTAAGACTTGATTTATCATTTTGTTAATATAAAATATTAATTTAGAGCACCAATATCTTCAATTATAAACTCAGAAACAATAAAACAATATGGTGACAATTATTGAACAATCATTTCTTTCAAATACTCACTTACTACAACTGTCTTTGATCTCCTCACTATGTTTACAGTAATGACCAATTTCCTCATCTGTTGTTTTTATAGTTTCATGTATTTTACTAATAGTTGTTTTGTTTTGTTTAATATCTTCACAGCATTCTAGAAGGAGAAAAATTTTATTTTCTTAAAATACAAATCATAACTTCAGTATAAAAACACAGTAGAAACATGGTATGGGTAGGTTCTCCTACTTAAAAAAGGAGGAGAGCCAGAGAATGGAGAGGAAAGGAGCTTGAAATGGGAAGGAGCCAGTACTAAAAAGCATAAACAAAATCTGCAGAATCAAGCATATTTAATCCTTGTCACAGAAACTAAGGATTTATGTTTGGGGTGAAGAGAAATTAATGTCATCCTTAACATTAAAATGTTAGTTTAAGTGATATCTAAGATCATGGAATCTTATGATGCTATGAGTTCATGTGAACAGTAACACAATACTAACATAAGACTTCTGTTTTTGATAAATGTGAAATGTATAGTCATTAATTCCATGTCACTTAATTACTAAGTACATTTTCAACCCACTTGTTACTAGTAACACAACATAAAAATGATTCTTCACACTCTACTCTTTTTTGTTGCAGAAAAGGTAACTAAATTTTATTTTTTAAGAGCTATTAAGAATGGTTGTATGGGCTTTCCCTGGTGGTGCAGTGGTTGACCACTGGGCTGCACGGCTGCCCGCAGCCTCTGCAGCGCAGGTTCGTTCCAGGCCACCGGCAAGGGTTCCACAGAAAAAAAAAAGAATGGTTGTATTTTCTTTTGATAGTTTTTATGTAGGATCTTAAAATACATTATGCAATTTGCCTTGCCATTTCACTCACATAATTTTTCAGAATTATTATTCCAGAAAATGTAGCACCCATCAATTCTGGTTTCTGATTTTTAGTGATTTCTAAAAAGATTTCTAAAAATTCACTCAAATATTTTAAAGTACCTGTGCTATTTGAGAAAAGTAACATATCTTCAACTGCACCCAAATAAGGGGCTATTTCAGCTTAAAGCAAAATTCCTCAACATAAAGTAATTTAACTACTGAATACAGAAATTATTCAAAAACTGTAATTAGGGAAAATGCCTCATTATTAGTGACTGGACAGAACCTGCACAAAAGTCACAATGCCAACTCTAAGTTACCCCAAACAAAACAACTGTGTATTTCTTAATATACCAAAAAAGACTAAAATATATTTGTCATGCAAAACTACTTACTATTAATCCGCTGAATCATATCTTCTTTAGTACTTTTATCTTGCTCATACTGGAAAACTAAAATAAATAATTTTGTGTGACTTCATTTCATGTTAAAATCAAACAATAATACAAACGTTCTCTCTTTATTTTCATTTTATACCTACCAAATTCTAGCAGAAGTCTGTCCAAACTGACAAATAGGCTGTCATTCATCTTGGACACTATGGCTTAAAAAAAAAAAAAATTATAAAGAATTTTCGGAGTCTATGCAAAACAGCACAAGCATATACTGAGGAACAAGAACCTTTTAACACAGTATTCCTCACGGAAAAATATGGCTGGCGCCAAGAACTGGAAGGGAGAACCTTCCAGTCTATTGCTGGCCATGGCCTGGTAGGCACTTGGGTACTTGTTGAATGCCGCCGCCGACTGGAAGTTGCTCGTACGTGGTACCGCAGTTTGTCTAAATCTTCTGGAGTCCATGGACTTCCAGATTTTTCAAAAGAAAATAAATTAACAAAATAAACACTATCTCTGAAAGTGTCTTCTCTCTCGTGTGTACAACTTACTACGTGTGCCAAGAGCCCTGAGGAAAATTCTTCACCGTCTGCGAGGTAAAACCCACAGGAATAGCGCGATTTTACACTTACCCATTTACCATCAAGAAAGTAAAATGTGGAGGTTTTCAAAGGACGGCCAGGGCGCGGCCCCAGCTACGCCTGAGGCGGGGTTTCTGAGACTCGTCCCCGCCGACCCCGGCGCCACCCACCCCGCGAGCTCACTCGCCTGAGGACCGACGCCCCCGAGCCCCGCGGCGCCTCTCCCGGCGCCCCGCCCGCCCCCAGCCCTCCAACCGCCTCGCGGCGACGCCCGCAGCCTCGGGAGGCACCGCGCCCGACGTCGAGGGTCGCGCCGCGAAGCCTCCAGAACGCGACCTCCCGTCGTACCCCGGGAACAGAGCTGCTACCCTGGGCGAAGCCGCGCCAGGGCCCGTTCTCCCGCCCACCTCAACGGCCCCTCAGGACTCCAACGAACGCCGGCCCCCAGATCCCACTCGGGATCTCGAGCAGGGAGGGCGTCCGGCCGCAGATCCCCGGATCCGCGCAGCCGCACCCCGGCCCGTGGGACCCACAGCGGCAGCGGCAGATTACGCTGAGGAGGCCACGCTCCGGGCGAGGCCCGGATCCACGTGAGACCGAGACCCCCGCGAGACCCGGCTCCCGCGAGACCGAGACGCCCGCGAGACTGAGACCCCGCGAGACCGGGTTCCCCGCGGGACACGGAGACGCCTGCTGAATCGAGACCCCCCCCCCGCCCCCGCCAGACTCTGCGTCCCCTCCACTCCCCCCCCACCGCCCCGCAAGACCAGCACCGCTGCAAGGAGACAGAGAGATGCTTTTTTAAAGAGTAGGGCACCTGTCAGTGTCTCTCCTGTTGCCTTACAGACAACTAAAAAAAAAAAAAAATTCATTCCTCTTGTAACGAAACATTTTTAAAAATATTTTGGAGAACAGCCATAAAATTAACTTTAGTACTAATTCTAATTTAATGTTAACATGACAGTAAATACTAAATTTAAGTACCAAATTTAACATTAACTTTAATATGACAGTAAAAACGAACCATCCGTCAAAATTCAATTTTGCATTCAGCATTTTTTCAAAACTTCTTGAAAGCAAACACAAATCGTATTTATTGTCGTTCAACATTTTGTGTGATGCATGTGTTTAGTATCAAATGTGCACATGAACAAATTCTGTCCAAAATGCTGTCTTTACATGATGTATGTTTTTAAACTGCCTAGCAAAGTGAAATAGAATGAGAAAAATAATTTAAACAAACCAGTCCCCCAACTTGCCTTAATTGTTGGTATATTTCTAGGTAGTATTTTTAATATTAAATCATCTAAACAATTGCCTCAATTCACTATAGCCTAAGTGGTTTCACAAATTATTAGAATGAAAAAGAAACTTTCAGCAGTGTTTTGCGGGTAAGTACCTCAGATAAGGTATGCGCAGGAATTTAATAATAACGTGATGTAATGTTGCTCAATAATGGTGAGTCATCAAAAACAATGTAAGTTTGATGGTGTAAGAGATTGAGCAGCTTTGTTTTTATATTTGTTTTAAATACATTTATTAACCACCCCCTTTTTAGGATGACATGAGTGAATGAAGATAAATTATTGTTTAGTCGTGCTGGCACTACATTGCTAGGACTGTCAAGAAAATTTGACAAGTCAAAGGGTTACTACATTCAACTGAACAGTATATTTTATATGAAAATTGGTGTAAACCTAGAAACATCACCTCACTGAGACCTGAAAATCAAATTTGTCTACATTTAATTTTTTATATGCATATTATGGTTATTGTCATGAAAATAAACATGAGTTTGTCTTATTTTAAAAACCCCTTCTTCTGGAAAAGCGATGAAGATGCCCCATCTACTGGAAAGATTTAAATAATAAATTTGATTCCTCCCTCTAAATCCCCCCAATGAAATAGAGTGCTTCATTTGAAAATTTATAAAGCATTGACTCATTTATTCTAACAAATCACTTTCCTGGAAAGTACTCCCCTAACACAAAAGTCTCCCCCACCTGTAATTAGCACCTTCCCTTCTTACTCCATACATGCAAATCAGAATCTGAAGAAATCCTTAATTAAACCCATTAACTATTCTAATTGTGCTATCTTCCTATCCTTCTTTTACTAAGTTATACAACAGAAACCGTGTCTCCCTACAATTCCTTTCCATGGTGACATTTTCACTCTGCCACTATCCCATCACATTTAACTGCTTTCTCAATTGATAAAGTATATTTATTCCAAATTCTCTACAACCTCTTTCAATACAATACTCCACTTCTAGTCCTTCCACCTCCCCAATCTGCATTTTTGATATTGGCTTCTACTTTCCCTTTCACCATTACTACCCAACTATATACTCTTATCAAAGCTTTTTCTTTAATTCTTTTTCTAACACTTTTCTTTGGATTATTCACCCATAATGGCTTCAATTCACTTCTGTGCTTAAAACTGCCAAATTTTTATTTCCAATTTTATCCTATTATGTGAGAGTTGTCCAAATATGTACATGTTTTCCCCATCATTTTAGGTTCTATCTAATCTAAATCCAAAGTTATCTCTTCCTCTCCCTCTAACATACAGTCTCAGCGGCACAGTAATTCTCCCAAAAATCAATACAAGAACAGTTGGTATCTACTATGACTCATTTCTCCCTTAATTTCTCTTAAATAATGCACAAAGTCTTGTTGATTTTTCTTTGATATATCCTTTACATCAAATCAACTCTAAAAACTGTCTCTGCAGTCAGATATGAATTCAACTTCTGACATTTGTTAAGTTAAAAATGAGGAATTTTCTAACCTAGACCAATATCCTCAAATACAAAACAAGACACGGTATTTTCCTGACTTATCTCCTATCTCTAATAATTTATCTCCTCGTTCAGACTCATTCTTTTCTACTCAGCTATTAAATGTTATAAATTTCTTAGGCTTGAGCCTAGCCCTTTTCTTATTCTTTACTCTAGCTTTAAGTTCTCTTTCCTACCCACAACTTCCAATACAAGTACTGCACATGATGCTCACAGATGTGTATCTCTAGTCTAGACCTGGAGATCAATTTAAGTCCTTAGTGGCAAGCAATAGAAGCAGATTCTGACTGATTTATGCAAAACTAAAATTTGTTAAAAGTATACTGTGTGGGGCCTTCCTGGTGGTGTAGGGGTTAAGTATCAGAACTATCACTCTATGTGCCCTGAGTTCAATTCCAAGCCAGGGAGCTAACCCATGTGGCGCAGCAGACCTCTCCTGTCTAGCCTGCTGTTCCCCTCAGCAGTGTATTTCAGTAGATCTGCTTGTTCTGCTCCCCACTCTGTCTCATGAATCCTTTCTCACACACACACCTGCACCTCTGGCCCACATCCCAATTCTTACATGCATAAATAGATAATCTTTTTTTTTAAAAAGTATACCGGGCCTCCCTGGTGGCACAAGGGTTAAAGACAGCACCATCAAGCTATCGCCAGCCACTGCATCACGAGTTCAATCCCTGGCCAGCTAGGGAGAAACGCATGTGGTACAGCAGACCTCTCCTGCCTCATCCGCGCTCCCCTCTGCAGTATATTTCAGATCTGCCTTTTCTGCTCCCCACTGTCTCTGGTGAATCCTCTCACCCTCTCACCTCTGGCTTATACCCCAGTTCTTATATGCATAAATAAATAAATCTTTAAAAAAAAAAAAAAAGAATGTCTGCTCTTTAAAAAATTAATAAAATAGAAAAGCATACTGTGTTTAACAAAATCCCCCAAATTGCTAGAAAAATAGGTTTAAAGCTGCCCAGACCCATATCCCAAGACAACAGGACTACAAGCCCACACTGCAGCTCAAACCACTACCACTAGCACATGATGTTTCTGTTCCTGACACTACTACATCTGCCCTACAAACTTGATCTTACTTCAACTGATGCCACTGCAAGAGAAGAGTCTTTCTAGAATACTCTGCTTTGTGTCACTCATTCCCAATTCAAAATTTTAGGTGGATACATTTGTTTGGAGAAACCTATTCTGCCAACTCTATCTCTTCTTTCCTCCCAGACTGTAAAAGTAGGAAATTCTCCAACATAAGAAGTAGATTTAAATGCTGGGAAGTCAGGCCTCCCTGGTGGCGCAAGGGGTTAAGACACAACCTATGAAGCTATCTGCAGCTACTGAACACGAGTTTGATCCCTGGCCGGCCAGGGAGCGACCCACGTGGCGCAGCAGACCTCTCCTGACTTGCCCACTACTCCCCTCAGCAGTGTATTTCAGTCATTCCTCCTGTTCTGCTCCCCACTCTGTCTCTGGTGAATCCTCTCACCCTCCACACCTCTGGCCTGTACCCCAGCTCTTGTATGCATAAATAAATAAATCTTTAAAAAAATAAAAAATAAATGCTGGAAGTCAAAATAATAGCAACTTTCCGTAATACTGACCTTCTGAGTTCCAGATTCACATATGTAATTGTTTACTTAATGAGCCAAAACAACTCATGTATTCTCCTCACTTCTGTCAGTCCTTTTTCATTTCTCTTTCTATTAATGTGACCATTATCCATTTGCATACAGGGCAGAAATTTAGAACTTCTATAATTTGATCTCAACTTTATTTTCCAAAAAAAAAATTCTCCATTTTAAGCATGCCAGTTCCTTCACTGACTAGTGAAGACACTATGGTCATTTAAGCATCTGTAGCTTTGTGTTCAAGTTGTTCCTCTCAACGGGAAAACTGCTACTACTTGACACAATCAAGATCTATCCATTCTTCAGAGTTCAAGTTCCAACTTTCCCAGAAAGCCTGACCTGACTGTTACAGACACCCATTTCTCCAAGTCCATGCAATTTCTCTGACATTTATGGCACTGTGTGTAGTACTTAATTCCAAAATATTTTAAACACTGGGACTACAAAAATGGAAAAAGTTCTTGCTCTCTAAAATCTCACCATTTAACAATGGAGATAGACTTTAATGTGATAAATACTATAGTAGACACATACATAGGTAATTGGGAATATTAAATCAATGACCTCAGTGACCTTTTAAAATTAGTCAGCAGTACTTTATCACTCTGGTCCCAGAAGAAAACAAAATCACTCCAGAGTACTCAAGTGAACACTCAAATTTTAGTAAAGAGACTAATTATAAAGGTATATGGACAGAGGACAATATGTATAGTGTTTTACCTCTGAAGGTAAATATCTAAAAGCCCAGATGCTAGCAAAGGGTGCCTGCACAGCACTCCAAAAGGCCAAATGGAGCCAGTCCACACTATTACACCACCCATTCCAAAGCAGAGAACAGAAAAGATCTCAAACTCTTCCAAAAAATTGAGGAAGAGGGAATGATTCCAAACAATTTATGAGGATAGAATTACTCTGATACTGTTGGTGGGAGTGCAAACTGATCCAACCACTATGGAGAGCTGTGTGGAGATTTCTGGACCTACTAAACATAGAGCTTCCATGTGATCCAGCAATTCCACTCCTAGGTATTTACCCAAAGGACACAGAAACATCAATACCAAAGAACACCTGGACCCCTATGTTTATAGCAGCACTATTTACAATAGCTAAGCTTTGGAAACAACCCAAATGTC